AGATGGCATCCGGTCCTCCAGGTGCTCTTCCCTTTTCTCTTACTTTGCATATGCTATTGATTTGTATTATGTTATCCTTAGATTTTGAAGAATCAAATTATTTTTTGATCTAGTCTCATGTATGCATTTTAATTGTGTGTGATTCATAGTCATATTATTGACAATGAGACCCAGGTTTCTTGTATAATTAGCTCGTCAGTGTTGTCCACCGCCGGGCGGTGTGTATTTTTGGGTCTTACACTCTCACTAATGGCAGCTCACCATGACGTGATTAAGGGCGCTGTACACTTCTTAACTCCTCCTTAATGAAACATGTGTTAAGCACGTTCTCGAAAAAAAAGACAATGAGACCTGGGTCTTTCTCACCCTAGCTCGTACCTTTTTCCTTTTTTTTGTATGTGCATTATTGAGTATCCAACTATGTGGTCTATTCATTTTCCCAGCAGGATAAATTGTATCTATAGATTTATTTAGATAATTTGGATAATTATTTAGTTGTATGACACTACATTTATACTGTATCCGTGCATTTAATTTTGTTGTGATCTTAAATGATTCTATTTGCTAGCTGTCTTCCTATTTCAACAAATGTCCATGATTCTATTTTTTGGTTAGGAACTTATGCTTGGTCATATGCCACAGTTTGCTATGCTGTTCTAAAAGTCCACTATAGTCTGAATATTTCTAATCTTGATTCCAGGTAGCTTGGAGATTAATATTACCTCCAATACGAACATTTATTTCTTTTTAGTGTATACATACAACACTACCATGTATACATAATTGTTTGCTAGTTGGGCGACTCTCCCACTATACTAAATTTTAATTTGATATGCCATGGCCTGAAGGTGGAGAAATGTTTGATTTTCATTAGTTGGAATGCCTCCATTCTCAGTGTTGTTCCCAACATATGAACTAGCATTGAACAATAGTTTTAATTTTGCAGAATGCGATGTTTTGGACCAACAGTGCCTTAGAATGCCTTTTGTCTTTTCGATGTGGCTGTTATATGCTATTGTTTGATGAAATTCATTCAGTGGAGATGGCTGCCACTTGCCAGTGAAACCATTCATGTCACCAATTTTATCAGAAGCTAAAGACTTTTGAATCTTGCACATGGATGTTTGTGTTTCGAATTCTTTAGGATTCTTTATGAATCTCTATGATTTCAACTAATGGAGTTTTTATGGTTCACTATACTTGTTCTTCACTGCCAAAACGAAGTTTTGGAAAGACTGCTATTATGGCAAAATCAAGAGTTTTATGGTTCATCGGCTTATCAGACCACTGATATGAATGGTTTCTTTGCTGGGTTTTTTTTTGCACTCGTATAAGATACTGTTTACTTACATATCCCAAAACTGAAGCTTCTTTGATCATGCATGTCTTTGTTTATTTTTAGGATACATCATGCCAATATTGTGAAAAGTAATCTGCTGCCCTCCCTTTCTCTCTCTCACGTGTGACAGCAGTGGAGGCAAAAGGCAAGCCTGCTGTCATTTCTAGTCACTGTAGCAAGGTAGCAATAGGTTATGTCTATAGTACTTTTGTACTAGGATTAGATAGGAGTAGCTGGGAGTTGGGGTACTTGCCAACTGCCCTTGTACCTGACAAGGTACAGCTAGAGTTGTATATACTTTTTAAAGGCAATGGAAAACTTAGTCCAGTCTGCCACATTTAGAAGCAGAGTCCTGGCCAATGCTGGTGCTTGTGCTGCGTGTGTGAGTGTTCTATGCTCACCTCTTCTTCAACCTCTCGCCAAGTGAGTGTGCTAGTGGTCGGCTGGGCCAACAACTGGTACTGACTACCATGAAATAATTACTTTAAATTGTAAATTTCTGGTTCTTATAAATTGGCGAACGCAGCAACTATTTCATGCTATTGTATTTAAATAGCAAATCCCTAGAGCTGTGCAGCATGCTTCATTGATGAGTGGTCAACTGTTGGTCGGTGATCAGTGAGCTAATTTTCCAGAACTGAGATACCGCCTTTTATTAGAAATGCATCCCAACCTATCCTGGATTTGAGTAATGAATTAACGCCCAAAACTAAATTGATCTAAATATGTTTGAATCTTCGAATATTGGTCTTAGTCTCTACAATTGTTGCATGATTTTTTATTTCCTGATCTGAGAACAGTGAATTATATCAATCAGTTCGTCTCTGAATGTAATCATGGTTGTAGTGTATGATATGGAAAGGTATTTCCGTGCTTTCTATGTAGGACATCCTCGCCAAATCATCGAATATGTTGACACTCTACATTTTGTTGTGTTACCAGATGCATACTTCTTCAGAATTTCTATTACATGCTGACTAGTACCTGAAAACAAGTGGTGCAGAGGTCATTCTATCACATCGATAGTTAAATCTTCCAATATTTATATGCATACAAATGCCCCTGTTTTTCCAGAGCTATGTACGGCATGCTTGTGTATTTCCAGTTTGTCTTCACCTAATGTTTTTATATTACCATAAAACTCTTGAGTTTGCCATAATAGTAGTCTTTGGGGCTGATGCATCTTAGTTCAACAAATTGAGCCATGTTTTTGGTCTGGCAATGTGTAATACGCTGAGTGCTCTAATGTGGGTGATTATTGGTTACATGATTGAAGTATATATGGATCATGATGAGGACTACACACATATTAGATAGAACAATGTCCAATTATCCTTTTGCAGGTTGCTTGATGATGGATTTCATTTCATTTTGTGACTGTACATCTATGTAAGCTGCTTTTAAGTCACCATCACCATCCGCTTGCCAGAGTTAAGATTTTCTGATTAGCAATCAAATTACTGCATTCCTTTAACTGTATTTTGGATAGTTGTGTTTTTTGCATCTCAGAATTGTCAATTTCTTACTCCCTGTGTGCTTCAGGGCTGCTAGACTACTACTGCTTGTGTTTTTCTTGTTGAACTATTCAGTACATGCCAATATGAGTGTTGAAGCCTTGGTGTTATGCTATTCTTTTTTCTGTTAAGGAGAGGATTTTTTTTTGGATAATTAACTCCAAATTCCAACATACCTGACCTGCTTTTACATAACCATCTGTCATATTTTGTGAATTTTGCTCAAATCTTCCTATATCAGACTTCTGCAGGTCAAATTTGTCTTTGAATTATTTTAAGAAACTCCGTCCAGGTATTCCTTTGAAATGTATGCATGGTCGGATGAAACATGTGGTACAGCAAGCCATAGTTGCAGATTTCAATCAAGCTACTTCAGTTCAGTTCTGAACTGATATATCCTCTTGAAGTTTGTATATAAAGAATGTGGATTGGGTGGTACAGGTATGCCATTATGTTAAGCACTACTGTTTTTCTTGTATTTTTTCTCTTGCTGTATCCTTTTTATCTCATTCGCATGTTAATTGCCCAGAAAGCATTGATAATTTCATCCACATAGTTGGCCGTGCAGCTCACTACAATATGAAAGGAAAATCACTTGTTTTCCTTTGTCCCGACCAAGAAACAATGCTTAAAAGATTAAAGGCAACCGAAATTAAAATCTCTATACATATTAGAAAGGTTAGCAGCAGGATTTTTTGTTTCAAGTGCTTAATTGATTATGGTTGATCTATGCAGTAGATGCTGAGACAAGTTTTTAGAATGCCCCTTCCGTCTTAAGTGACAGAAATTTTGACAGCTGTTCATATCATAAAACTGCCACTAGTTCTTGCATTTTTTTATTTGTTTGTTACTGTTCTTAATTGCTTTAATGTATCCTAAGGCAGAACAACTGGAGCAGGTACCTCAGAATATAGCCTCGGTGCTAGTTAAATTCCAAATCTGCAGCAATTGGACTAAAAGGCTTTTGTTACGTATCTTAAGTCAGTATAACTCCAGAAAGACAAAAAGGTGTTCAACCTGAGCAGGTTTCGGCAGAGCAGTTCATTGCATATCTGCATATGCTGCTTCGTGGTCTGCATATTAGCCCCACGATCCGCTTCATATGCCACAAGAAGAATGTGTCGAAGAAGGATATGAAGACATTGATATGAAACAGATGAAATTCAGTTCCAAACGTGAAGTTATCATCACGCCAAAGGTCAACAATGATTTGATTGTGGATGATGGAGATGATGATATCCCTTATCCCAAGAACCCCACAGCAGATGCACTACTGGAGACTCGCATTCTTCTGTGTGTGCGAAAACGCATAGAAAAATGCGAATACCGTCAGAAAAATATTTTTTTGACGGTGTACCCTCAGAAAAATACACACGGAAATATAATGACAGAAAAATTCAATTGTTTTGTGTGTTCACTGTCAGAAACAATTTTTCTGTGGGTGTTACACGCACAGAAAAATTACGTTAAACCAGATTAAATTTAAATGTTTTGTGCGTTAATCCTCACAGAAAAAAGGAAAACCCGACAGAAAAATGATTTTTCTGTCGATGTTGTCCCGATAGAGTCGTAGAGGTACACTCACAGGAAAATTTTTATTTTTCTGTCGGTCTCGGTTAACGCACAGAAAAAAACAGACTACCGACAAAAAAAACACTTAACCATGTAGTAAATTGGATACAATAATTATATAGAAACAGAACAGTAGCAACAACATATTAAATATGGATTGTCCATACTGTAATTTCATCACAACATAATAGATAGCATACATATAAAGATCTAAATATTCAGCACATTCATTAATGGCATCCGGGCTACATATAGATGATGTCCAAATGGTCCTAGCATACATATAAAGATCCAAATGTTCAGCACATTCATTAATGGCATCCGGGCTACATATAGATGATGTCCAAATGGTTCGGCATCAATACATTCAAAAGCATTACCATCTCATCTCAGCAGTTCAAGTCTCAGTCAAGATGAGTAAAGTACCAGCATGCATCATTGAGTCATATTATAGCTAAAACTAAAGCTAACTAAAGCTAACAGATTAGAGCCACCTACTAGTTAATGTGTAAAAGCACAACTCTACAAAAGAAGAAACCACCATCACATCCATGTTTTGTAACTAAACACAACCATCACATTATCAATGCATGATCGTCATTGTTGTCGGAACCTTGATTGTTGTCAACGTTTGCAGCATGAAGATCCCCATTGGTGTGGCCAACATCATTACCATTGTTGGCAGATTCTGAGGCAGCATGAGAAGACCCAGATGCCTGAATGTGAATAAAGTTATAGTAAGTGGAATTGTCTCCCAACAATATAACACTTTTAGCAAAGCCTCTAAATTGGACAAGGTTACAACAGTAAGTGGAATTAGACAAGGTTTAAAGTATTCAAACTGCTAGTTTTCAAGGTGTGAAACATTACAAACCAACATAAGGCCACTTCCTCACTGCAATAGCCATGCAAATTCACTGCAGTAGCTATACAACAATCAACATGAGGCCACTTCCTCACTGCTGCACTGTGTGTTGACATTCTGAATAGTACCCCACAAAATACTAATCAGTTTGTACTTCCTTTCCATATTAAAATCTCTAAGTGATGGATCTGACAGCTACAAAACATGTTGATAGTAGAATGAAGATATACTCACAATTGCTTGCGTAGCAAACAAGTGTCGTAACGCTCCTTCTGGTACAACCCTTCCTGTCTCCTAGTAAAGGTTCTACAAGTGTATTGCAAGCACAGATATTTCAGATTCAAATCATTAGATAATTCACATATAATATTGGTGAATTATTTACAAGAGCATTGCACATACTAGTACCAAGCCTACAAGAACTTTGTTTTGCTGCAGTGCGTTGTCCTTTTCACGATTCTCTCGTTCCAGCCTTCCATTTGCACAACGTAGCTCTTCCATTTCTCGAGACATGTTTTGCATAGTCACTGAATTTGATGGACGCACACTTCTTTCCCTTTCGGCTGCCCTGACATCCGAAGACTTAACCGCACCATTTGCTATGGCAAGACGCCCATGCTTTCTCGGGGCACCACTAGACACATCATATAGCACCTTTCCATTTAAATATTGTTGTTGCTCAACCTCATGCCCATCTACTTCCATGTCTGCACCGTCTCCATCCTCTTCGTTTGCACATTCTATCCTCTTAACAACAGCAAGGTAGTCATCCTACAAAGACCAGAACAAGGAAACATGTTCTACAGATTTACAGATAGCCAAAACATGGTAACGTTGTATTCTGAAATTTCTGGACAGCAGCAAGAAAGTCACTTAAATAAATCATAACTAGAGTTCTAGATCACAGAAAAATATGTTCTTTAATATTTTGGAAAGTTTAAGAAGTTCTCCACATCTTTCTAGTTATAACATAGACCTGATTCTTAAGTTAATAGGGTGAAAAAACACAAAGAAGCATTGTTGTGCAGATATGAACATAAGCTGACAAGAAACTTCAAAAAATTGTAATTCCCAAACCTAAGGAACTGAAGTCATGAAATTTTAGAACAGTGAAGATACTTAAATTATCTACAACTTTTGTATTAAGAAGTTCCACAAAAGACGTCATGTAAGTATTCGAAGTAGTATACACACTAGAACTGTACAAGCAGAAATTTTCAGCACACATGTCACATACATACCATGAGTTTCTGTGCTTTGTGGCTACTGATTGGACCACATTTACCATTGCTATCTAGGCTTTTCATGCCAGATTTCATCGCAGCAAATGTATCAATAGGGGTTGCTTTCTGTGGTTCAAAGTTAGCTTCCTAAAAAATAGTAAATTTTCCAATGAGATATGAATATGCAATAGGCTAGTAAGTTCCTAAAAAGACATTAAAGAATAAAGAATATACACGTGCAAACCAATACTTGTTGTGTCTCTGTGAATGGTCTAGATCCTCCTCAGTTTTGAGCAATATCTTCATTACTTGAGCGAGATGTTTGCCCCCTCTTACGTTTGACCTTGTACTCATCTGAGCACCAATAAGCACAAAGGAGCCACACCTCATCATTCAACCACTCGAGCTTTTCTTGCTTGTATTGCTCATACTTGAGGTCAATATGCCACGCTACTGCATCTTTGATTTCTATGTGTTTTATTTCCCTATAGTACTCCTTGATAGCATCCACATATACTTGATACATCATGTTCCTCACCCTTTTCTTCAAATAGGCTTCTAGAACACAGTCCGCATCTTGTTGATCTCCTGCTGCAACTTGGAACAAACGTTGCATGTGTACAAAACCATGAACATAGGTTTCACATTGCATAGATTTTAGAAATTTCAAGTTTTAGATGTTGCTCAGAAATTTCAGATTGAACATAGGTATCTTACCCAAAATTAAAAACCACTTTTTCTCCCCTTGTCATTTTCGTAGCCTTAGGATTTTTATGAAAATAATTAGCCCAATCCAGAGTAGGGCGCTTGAATTCATCACCGTTGTCATCCACCTCCACAATCACACCTGAATATTCTCTTCTAAGTATGACCCCAAGCTAAGTAGTGTATTTGTAAGGTGGCGGATAGTAAATATAACTGAATTGCCTATAAATATATATTATATAGGAATAGGTCAGCACAAAAGGTTGGCTGCAAGGATTATGTGCATATGCTAGTAAAAGGACATCATGTGCAGCTGCTAGTAGATGGAAAAAAAACTGCACACTTAACTGAGACAGTGATAGATTGTATGCAAAGAAGAATCAAGCTAACAAATTACTAGCACCAAAGATCAGGAGCCAACAAAGAATCAAGCAAGAAATGCACTCACTGGTCACCACTTGGTTTAAGCCACTTTAACATCACGTGGAGGTTGTTTAAATTTTGTTCGGGACCCTGCCTTCCTTCCTCTTTTCTTGGGTGGCTCTATTGGGGGAGCTTCAACAACTATTGTCCTTTGTGAGGCATCGCCTGCAGTTCCAGAACCTTCATTTGTTTGGGCTGCACTGCTGTTGACTACACGGTGTGTGTGTCGAATGGAATGGATCATGGAACCGCCTGCACTTTTAGAACCATCATTCCTTTCGGCTACACGAAAATTGGGTACACGTTTGTTGCGTATACTGACTATCTGCATTAGATACAATATGTTAGATCCATCTTAAAACAAATAGTGCATCAGACAACAAATTATTGGAGGAGCATCAAACATGGAAACTGCTATATTAATAATTATGGACTGTTGGCTGCACATTCACCAAAAATACTGGACTGCATATATTCAAATATATTTTAGACTGCATATTACATTAGATAAAGGATTGGAGAGAAAACAACATGAATTCAGATTTAGTAAAACTGAAGCACACATGCAAATTGATATATTAATAATACTGGACTATTGGCTGCATATTCAAAAACAGTTACATAGGATCTTATGCATAACAAATAGCATATCTAAAACATATATTTTGGACTGCATATTCAAAAATCATTTGGATCATAAGTTTCTTCATCTTCTTCATCCATTGATTCATCATCCTCTTCCGTCTCTTCCTCTTCTTCAATAGCTTCTTCATCATATTCCTCATCCAGAACAACTTGTTTTTGTATTGCTTCCAAGTCTTTTGGATCAGTAACCTCATCTGACCCCGTTGCAATTATGGAGTCCAAGGCATCACTCAAATCAATGATAAAGGCGCCATCCAAACCATCCGTTTGGTAGACATCCTACACTACCCCTTCTATATTCATAGCTTCACTACTGCTTTCATTCATAGGCACACATCCATGTGGAGCAACATGGTAGACAACCCACCATGAAGACAACTCTCTGTTCTTACATGAGTATGACAAATAGTACACTTGAGTAACCTGACTAGCAATCACAAATGGGTCAAAATTTGATAATCTTAATGTATGATTGATCTCTACCAAGCCTAGATCTTCAATACGCCTCAATCCATTGGGTGTTGGATCAAACCAGGAGCAATAAAACAACACCAACTCTAGTTTCATGATGCCTTCCCACTCAATTTTAGTTATATCTTCTATGATTCCATAATACTCTAGAGCATTGTCTGATTCATCAAAAGAAGTTACACAAACACCACTATTGATAGTTGTTAGCCCTACTCTTCCACTCTCATATTTCTTTGAACGGAATCTATAGCCATTAACATCAAAACACCCATAGGACCTAACTCGAGGGTAGTGACCATAGGACATTTGGAACAGAGCATTGTGATTGCAAGCTATTTTCAAGCACTGAAAAAACACAAATTATGTGATAAGTTTTTTTATCATAATTCAGAATGTTGGAACAGAACAAAGGCTAAAGTGTATGAGAAAATTATTTGCTCTTTGAACCAATCAAAAAAATTTGGACTAGATTGTATACCATGGCTATTTTTCCAACCATTAAACCTTAAATCATGATGTTGCTGGTCTGTGGGAGATATACGGCTCTTCCACTGTTCATTATCAAAGTGTCTACATGAACAAAATTCTTGTTATGCCTAGATAATAAAAAATCTAGAATAGAAAAGTAATGACATTTTTGGCAGAACATATGTGAAGAAAACATCCATCTTCGGCATGTTTGTCAATATGTATAGAAAAGCAACCTTGTACTCCTTGTTTGAGAGTTCACGGACACCTCTAGGGCTCATATAATGACCTGGGCATTTAAAAATGTCAAGGTCACATGTACCTTGAAATGAAGATGCACAATCATCATAGGGAGGCACCTTATTTCTAACAGATGGAGCATGGGGTCTAAAATATAAACTTAGTGTATTTGCAGCCTCTTCAATAAAAATGCCTCAACAATGCCAGCCTCAATACGAGCCTTATTTCTTACTTTTTTCCTAAGTTTTTGGATACACCTACGAAGTAAGAGCAACGTATTACATATAGCTAACTTACGGTCTGTGACATAAATAAACTAGTTACTTGAATATATCTAGATTTACCTCTCATATGGATAGCTCCAACGTGCTAGGACAGGACCATCTAATCGTGCTTCATAAGGCAGATGTATGTTGAGATGTTGCATAACATTGAAGAAACCAGGAGGAAATATCTTCTCCATTTTGCAAAGAAGCACTGCAACATTCTCCTCTAGAGAGCGGATAACATCTTTTCTAAACTCTTTGGCACACAATTGCCGATAGAAGAAACTAAGCTCAGCCAAACAATGCCTCACATTATCCGGCAAAAACCCACGAAACACTACAGGGAGCAACCTTTCCATAAAGATGTGATAATCATGACTTTTTAGTCCAAAATTTTTCTTTTGCAGCAGATTCACACCATGCTTCAGATTGGATGCGTATGAGTCAGGGAACTATAATTCTTTGAACCATTGCAGGATGGTTGGCTTAACATCTTTTTGAACGCTGAATGGACCTCTAGACCTATCCCACTGCCCATTGCTCTTTTGCACCAAATGCATGGAAGGACGATTACATATAATAGCCAAATCTAGCCTAGCTTTCACATTATCTTTGCTCTTTTCAGCTATGTCTAAACATGTGTTCCATATGGCTTCACCCATATTCTTTTCATTATGCATTACATCAATATTGTGTGGAAGTAGCAACTTATGGAAATATGGAAGCTGCCTAAAACAAAGTACATGTGTCCAATTGTGCAATCTACCGTAGGTTTGTGTATCACCAGCAAACTGGTTCACATGGGCTTGCACTTCCTCCCCTATTAAGTATCTAGGTGCCTCATCAAACACCTTGGTGTTCTTGTGAAAAGCATTAGCTTCATTTCTAAATGGATGATCTTCAGGCAAGAAACGCCTATGGGTATCAAACTAGCAAGCCTTAGGCCCATTTGGGAGTAGGAATCCTCGACAACCACACCCATATGGGCATGACAACCTACCATGGGTGCTCCAGCCGGAAAAGTCCCCATAAGCCATAAAGTCATGTACTGACCAAAGGTAGATTCCTCTCATTGTAAACTCCTCCTTCAATGAAGCATCCCATGTTGTGACCCCCTTCCATAGTTCTTGAAATTCATCAACTAAGGGTTGCATTAAAACGATCAATTTTCTACCAGGATGCTCCGGACCAGGAACAACAAATGCGAGGAAAATATACTCAGACCTTAAGAGTATGCCAGGAGGTAGGTTCAGTGGGGTCACAAAGACTGGCCAACATGAGTAAGGTGCAACATTCACATCAAATGGTTGGAAACCATCTCTTGCTACTACAAGGCGCACATTTCTTTTTTCCTGTGCAAATTCTGGATAGTCCACATTAAATTGTTGCCAAGCCTCTCTGTCACAAGGGTGCACCATCTTACCACATGGTGTGGGACTATATGATCTCATTAACTTGGGTGTCTCCCCATGTAGATATAGCCTTTGCAGCCTATCTGTGATTGGAAGATAGCGCAAAACTTTGTTCGCCCTTCCACATATCGATTAGCACCACAAAAATCACATTTATCTTTGTCCTTATTATTTTTGTAGAATAGCATGCAATTGTTATAGCAAACATCAATTTTGATATATTGCATACCAAGACCCTCTAATAATTTCCTAGATTGGTAGAAGTCATTAGGTAACTTGGAGTCAGGAGGAAGGAGTTCATGTACTATGCCTAGTATATCATCATATTCAGTAATGGACATGTTGTACCGTGACTTCACAGCAAACAAGCGAGCTACAACAGACAAGCGTGAGTGTGTGGTTCTATCATGCACCAACTCATCTGCACTAGCAACCATCCTATAGAAAGCTTTGGCATATGCTGATGGTTCAACATCCAGTATAGGTGGATGGTGCCCAGCAAGCTCAACCAACATTTGATCCATCTGATCAACTTCATAAGTGCCCTCTCTATTTCCCACACCATCATATCCGTCATGTGAAATCAGCCCCTCACCATGCTCGGTCCAAGTTTCATAGTCTTCCTTAAAACCATGCCTACACAAATGCATCTCTATAGTGTATCTTATATGCCTAAAGTAGTTCCGACATTGTGCACAAGGACACTTAATAGTATCATTTTCAGCTACACCAGGAATTGAAAATGCACTATTCAAGAATTCATTGGTTCCATCAATCCATTCATTTGAGGGAGCTTTGCCACATTGCCAACCATTATACATCCATGTTCGGTTTGACATATTAACTAGTTCATTCAAATATTAGTATATTAGATATCACAACAAAGGAAGCTCAATTATTTTTGGTGCAAGGACAGACATTCCAAACTTAGACAAGTGGGCACACAAATAAAATGTAGAATAACAACATTGTCATACAACAAATTA